GATGATCATTCTTCACTTTCATCTACAACCGCAGTTCAAATATGAATTATTTCATATATACTTCACATCAGAGTGAGAAAGTGTTTTTCTTACCAGGATATTGCGTCACAGAAATGTATGTTAAAAATACATGGGTCATATAGCTTCTCTGACCTCCCTGTCATTGTTGTTCACATTGACTTAAATTTATATTACTTATAAATTAGCTTTCATATTAAGGGATGGGCACTTTGACTCACTTTGAGAAAGAGGCTAAAGATAACTTGGAAATGGTCTATTCAAACGTGCTCTATCCAAAAAAAGAAGTACCTTGTCACGCTAAAAGTCTGTAAAACGTCAATTTGATTCTTAATAATTTTCAGCTGAAATTTCCTTAGTTAGTGTCTTCAATTGGAATACAATCATGCAAGACACTGTTGGACGAATGCTTTCCCCAGAAAAAGAAGCGAGTAAGGGACAAAGACACACCATACATGACGACCGCATGGAAAAACTGCCATCCGAGCAAACAGAAGAACTTTCACAAAGTAGTCTAAAAGACAGAACACAACAAAACTGGGAAGACAAGCAAAATGTAGCAATGAAGCAGTCTGGCAAAGAAGGATTTTTCTACGGCAATACTGGAAGAAGAAGACTTCTGACCTTAGAGAAAACCAAGAAATTTTTCCAAACTTTCAAACCGTTTCTTGGAACTAGGAAAGGGGTCAAGGGATCTGATATTAACTTAAAAGTTGATGGCAAGATCATTAGCAACCAAAAGACTGTTGCGGAAATATTAGCAAATCACTTTGCAACGATACCAAGAAATATCGGAGATGTCAGCGTAAGAGACTAATCAAAGAGTGACTCAAACAACCATCCAAGTGTCCTGCAAATACAATTGGCGAATAGGTTAGATCTGATGATCAAATCCAATCCAGTTAACCAGGTACAAGTTAGAAGTGCTCTGGAGTCATTTAATGCGGGAAAAAAGCATCTGGGTGCGGAAAAACGCGCTAAACCACTGGCGAATCTGTACAATTCATGTATTTCAAATCGTCAATGGCCAAGCTACTGGAAAAAGGGGAAATGGACGCCTGTCTTAAAGAAAGAGGATCCACAGGATGGTGGGAGCTATCGACCAATAACTGTCCTCCCGGTGGTTAATGAGGTGTTTGAGCAGCTTCTTAGCGATCAGAATTCAAAGAAATAGACCACTTTCGATATATTTTAATATGCTGAATTTTAAAAAAATTCAGCTTGGCAGTGAGGCTTAAAGGACACAAACAAAGGAAATTGAATAAGCATGTTAATTCGTTTCTTTTGTTTGTGTCCTCTAGGCCTCACTATCTAGCCGAATTTTGATATATCGAAAGTGGCCTATTTGACAGCCGTTTGGATCCTCGAATCACGGCATACCGTAAACGCCATAGTTGTGAGACAACACTGATAAGCCTTATTGAAGCGTGGAAATCAGCACGGGATAACCAACAAACTGTTAAGACCTGTTAAGATCTTGTCTACCGACTCGAGTAAGGCTTTTGACTCACTCCATCCTTCCCTTATGATCAGCAGACTAAACGCGTATCGATTTCCTGAGGAACTGCTTGATCTACTTCAATCCTACCTGTGTGATCGACTGAACCGAGTGATCAAGTGGGAGCTATTAGAAGTAAGTGGAAGCGGACTGATAGAGGTTGTCCTGTAGGGGTTGTCCCCTGCTGTATGAAGCAGCTGGGGACCCAAAAATAGCTTACACCAACCTTATGACGAATGCCAATAGGGCCTCCGAGTGGTATGCTAGCGATCTGCTAAAAGGAAACCTGAGCAAATATCAAACTATGACTTTAAAGCATAACAGGACAGAAAGTAACATTCCATTACACTTTCAAGGAAAAAACATTGAATTTTCCGACTGTCTTAAGTTGCTAGGAGTCACCATTGACGATCAGCTGAGTTTTAATACTCACATTAATGAATTCTGTAAGAAGGCGAGTCAAAGGGTCGGCGTAAATTTCTTCTAAATTACCATCTCTAAAAATGTGTCGCAATATTGCGAAAAGTAGCTTTAGGAACGCCATATGAGCTAAACACGATTCTTCTTCCAACCGCACGCGCTAATGACGCCAGTGGGTCATTGATACGCATGCGCGCGTGTGTGTCTCCAGATTTTATGAAGTCACAACGAAGAAAAACAGCCCTCGTTTTTTCGTGTTCTCTTCGGTGAAATTTTCCGAAAGTTTGTATACTTCATGATATAGAGGCTTACTTCACAATATCATTTTTTGGCAAAATTTTATCGAGCGATTTCTCTTTTTTGATCAAACATAGGAACGTTAAAGTTTTTTACGAATCCACTAGATGAACTTTTCATTTAATCAAATTAAACTATTGGCCGAAATCGTTTTCACAAGACTGTCGAGTTTAAAGATATTTTACCAAGTCTAACTCTAGAAAGGGAAGCAAACAGGTGGAAAGTGGCAAAATATGGTTATCTTTACAATTGGTTGCTGCCATGGTAACAGTTTGCGATATACTCATATGAACGAAAACGAAACCCTGGTGTGTTGCCAATCTTTACCGCGAATGCCAGGAGCTTAAACCCAATGGTGTTAAAAAAACATTGTTCATTTGTAGTTCTTCATCCGTTTATAGGTGTAGATACTGTTAATACCGTGAGATGGCCCCTTAAGCAACTCGCTCAGAGCGAGACAAAAAATATACCACTGTGTGTACTGCAATATTACTTGTCAGGTCTGTAACTAATATCAACAGACGGGATGTTAACAAGGGTATTAGTTACAGAACAAAGCGGAGGAGTCGACCTAGGGCTGGTTATTTTTATACACTTGTATGCTTTAGTGGACAAAGACACTTTGCTAGTGCCTTATTCTTTAATTGTCTAATTTATGGTTAAAGAAGATCTTCGACACGACATCCTCGACCAGGAATTAATTTGAATCTTTGAAAGCAGGGTCTAGATTAACACATTTACAACTGTTGACCACAGTACCTACCAATGAATACATGTTGAAAGCCTTTGCCGGGTTGTTTAG